GACTACAATTACCAAAAATGGATTTTAATCACAAAGTATAGAAAAACAGAGTCTGAAACTCACATGTGTGACATCACAAAAATCAAGTAAAGATTTAAACAGAGCTTCCAACTGTAGCACTCCATTATTGATCTGCAATATAGAATTATCAAACAGAAAACAAGCTAATTGGATGCTCAAAATAATCAGTGGAGACATCCAAGGAAAAATTAAGCATGCCTTATGTAAGGAATGGTTTGGGACATCACACAAAAGAAAGTTAGCCCTCATGTTTCTGCAGGGATATAAACCTATCTCAATATCCTTGAAGCTCATGTGAATCATACATGGTTTCCCATTCAATTACCATGGGCAGTCAATACTGCTGGCACAAGCAAATGTAAGGTATTTTTTTGGCTAAGGTTGGCAACCATTTTTCTTCCTTTATTAAGCTAAACCCGCCTTACTTATTAAAAGAAATCCCTAAATTGTAAACCATGGGTGTGCCTCAATGATAAAGGCCTAAAATCTATCTTTATCTCCAATTAAAAGCACATGAAGTTTTTTACAATACAATACCTTCATCAATACACAATACAGATGAGAAACTTTTGCTGCTTCAGATGCTGGAAAAGAGCACATATGATACTGCAAAGCTGCATGAGAGGAGCTTTCATCTTCCAAATAGTCCATTTGTACTTTGGAAGACATATTCATGCTCATGCGCCCAAAAAGAACCTGAAAATCTGTTGGGCACATCATGAACAACTTGGAGATCAGATTTCTTCCCAATTGTTGTTCACTTGTGGAGCGCCAGATTCCAAGCAAAGTTTCGGAAAGTTCAGGGTGAGAAGGTGAATCATTCTTCAATTCTACTTTGGTAAAATCAATGCTTCTCTCTGTCTGCACTCCTATGGCCTTGGATGTAGAAGCTGTTAATAAACATAAAAACAAAGCACGGCAGCTTCATGTCAAAATTAAATATATGGCAACAAAAAAGAAAACACTATGGTAATAGAAGTTTATCCAACACATGCACCTCACCTATATCAATCTGACCCTCCAAAGGTTTTGCACTTTTGGAGTGCTGGGAAATTCCATGAGCATCCTTGCTGTGATCCCCAAGCTCCCGGCCACTATAGCCAACCATTTAAAGAATTTGTAAAATGTAAATCACAACAATTAAAAAGGGGCCACTGTCCAACTGTGATTTTATATCAGACAAGCTTAATAGATAATGTCAATGTGAAGACGGAAAAAAAAAAAAAGAAAGAGAAATAACCAAGGCCATTGATAGAGAAATCTTTCAAACATACTAACTTAGAAGAAAAATGCCACCAAGAACATTTAATAGCTAGCTAACCACTCTGAGGCAGCCAAACTGTGAGCTGGATTTGGCAATGCAGGGTAAGACTGGCAGGACCTAAGGTGTTGTTTGAGTAGAGATAATAATCTCTATGCCATACATGCAACATCACATACCCATCTACTCAGATAAATAACCAAGATAGTTGAAAAAAATAAATAACACCAAAAAAACTCACAAGTTTTTCCTTTTTCGGCCGTGAATATGCACATCTTTTTCTTCAGTATCGGCATATAAAGATTTAATTTGCTCGTCTCTTTTCCTTCTCTCCTTCTTAAGTTCAAAGCATTCTTGTTCCTGAAATGGATTAGCAATTCATCAAAAAAGAACCCCATTAAAAAAGATAAAAACTTTGAAATAAACAAACCAATGAAAAATCATAATTCAGTGCAAAATCAATGAAAAAGACCTTGAAAGACTAGATAATTAAGAAAATAAGTAGATGGGTAAAAAGAAAAATAAAATCAAGCATAGATAAACACTTGAAACATTGTGATAGGGTGGGAAAAAGAAAAAGACTTGCCAAATCTGTAAGGTGCTTTGATGCGCGTCCCAATTCTCTCTGTAGATTGAAAAATCCATTAAAACTGAATCAGAAATTTCATTCCTTTTTCCCTTGAGAAAGATATTGTATCACATACATCTATCACTCAAAAAAAAAAATCTAAAGTAACGTTAACTCTGTCAAGTTCCGATACTGGATAAAGCCCCAAAGGAAGAAAATATGAATCCAAAGAAAGAAGCAAATAAAATAAATTCCCAAAATAAAAGAAAAAACCTTTAGGCGATCAATTTCTAGGTCTTTGGCATTATGTTTGGAGGCAGAAGTAGAAGGAGCCGCATGCGAGAATCCGTTGGAAAAACGATCAAATGTTATGCTGCTGCTGCTGTTGTTGATGCTGAACTCAATTGGTCTTTGAGAGAGTTCACGCGGAGGAGAGTAACTGATGGAATTATTTTGATAGTCATGTTGCAGTTGTTGCGGTGGTGGGAGGTAGGGGAGTTTGGTGGTGGTGGTGGTGGTGGGAGGTAGGGGAGATTCGGATGAGGAAGGGAGTTGAGAAGAGAGAGCGAGTTCCTCGACTTGGATTAACTGATCTAAGAAATCAGCGTCCCATTCTTCAAACCCTTCCCCTTTCCCTTCTTTCATTTCTCTCTTCCGATTTTTTTTTTTTTTTTTTTGGTTTAATGTGCGTTTGGTTGTGGTTTTTTCTTTCGGTTTTTTATCCATTTTTCATGCACATGACTTAATTCCAGAGAATTTGGGGGGCGCTGCGCCGACTTAATTTAAAATATCACTGTTTTAATATTTAAAAAAATATTATTTAATTTAACATGTTGCTGTTTAAATATTAAAAAAATCCATTCATTTTTTCTCCGAACTTTGTAATGAATAGATCATTTAAATAGCAGCATGAAGATATCTCGAAATTTATAACAAAAAAATTATCTATAAATGTAAAACCAATTATATCTTGGTATTGAGAACAGTTATCTGGCGTCCATCATCGTAACTGTCACATTATTCACAGAAGGAAATCCTGCAGAACTCGTGGATGAACTCGTGTCTCCCATGTTTCTGCCTATAGCAAAAGCAGGCTGTTTAGGTGCTGGGAGGGGTGCATGTTCATTTACAATCATGGAGAAAACATCCGACATTGTAGGCCTATCTGCTGGACTTTCTTGGACACAAAGAAGCCCTATGTTAATGTGTCTCAAGAGCACAGAAGTTGAAGGAGGATCCCCCAGGACTGGATCCATCAAGTCCAAAGCTCTGCTAGAATTCCATGACTTCCATGCCTATAATTAACCAAAGAAAATGTTGCATCAGTGGTGTAAAGATTAGCGAGGGCCAAGGCATGAAATAAAATCCCTGCAGGAACAGAGCAGGGGACAGAAACGAAAAATACCCGCATGTCCAAGAAGATTGAGGGAGTCTCTGTGGTAGAAACCAGTATTCTTCCTGCCGCTTACAATCTCAAGTAACAATACTCCGAAGCTAAACACGTCAGATCTTATTGAGAAGAGACCGTCCATGGCATATTCAGGAGACATATAGCCACTAATATTTGTAAAAGTCAGTGCAATTATGCTGAAGTGTCATGTACTGGAAAATGGAAGAGAAGTTTGAGTAATTTCTAAGAAACTTACTACGTTCCAACAATATTCTTGGTGTTTGCTTCAGTTTCACTGTCTCCAAAATTCGAGCCATCCCGAAATCGGAAATCTTGGGGTTCATTTCACTATCCAATAGAATGTTGCTAGGTTTTAAATCCCTGTGAATAATTCGTAACCGTGAGTATCTTTGCAGATACAGAAGGCCTTGAGCAATCCCTTCTATTATGCGAACCCGTGAACCCCAATCTAAGATTTGTCGTTTGTTTGCATCTGTTTGAACACAAATCAAACAGTAAATTTATTGAGGTATTTGGCAAGTGATGAACTCAGAAATGATTAAAAGAAATAGAGAAATGAACGCAAGACAACACACCAAATGAAAAGAAATCCAAGCTTTTATTCGGCATGTACTCATAGATTGGTATTTTCTCATCCCGTTCAATGCAGCAATCCAACAGCCTGACAAGATTCCTGTGCTGGAGTCTGGCAATTAACTTTGTCTCATTTCTGAACTCCTCGAGCCCCTGCCCAGATCTTTTTGAAAGCCTCTTCACTGCTACTTCCACTCCGTTGTATAATTTACACTATTAAATGAACGAAAAACCCTCGTGAAATTTAATTTGACTTGTCCGAAACATACCAGAAATGTTTGGAGTTCCGGGGAGCTTGACTGTGAAATGCTCCAAAGCAGCTAAAAAAGTAATGGTACATGTAGCATTAGTAAGGCTTTTCTGAACTTCCTAAGCTCTAACGACGAGGGTCATCTAAACCTTTTGAGCGGTACAAGTTTCCTCTCAAAAGGATAGAAAAATCAGGGTTTTTTATTTGAATGTAATTTACCTAGTAAACCGGTCCAAAGCCTCCCTCTCCAAGCTTGTGTGAGGATTGTTCAGTCACAGCAGATACACTCTCATAGCTGAACAATGGCAGTTCAAAATTTTTCCTCCGATTATCAACAGAGCTAGATACATAGTTTGTTGAGTTAGGACAGGTATCGAAATCAAAGAACAGTAAGTTCTCACTTGTATCTTCCTCCCCTGTTTAAGAATAACATGATTATACAGGGTTACTCTGCTGAAAAATCCAGCAATTCTGATCAAACAAGCAAAACTTTGAGAACCCTCATGTTAGTATCTAGGACTTGTGCAAATTCTTTTTTCATGATGGCTTGGTTATAAAAAGAAATCTTGCTAAATCACTATGAATGTGAAAACCGCTCAAGGTATACCGTCTTCTTTGATTACCTAAATAAATAAAAGGTGTAAAGTTTATCATTTGCAAACAGACGTCATTGTTTCAATTTCCAATGGAAGGCTTTTTCTTACTTATCTTTTTACCATTAACGTGAGTTGTGTCTATTTTTCAATGCTGGAATAACTGGAAAGACAGCAAGAACCAGGATATACCTTTGTGGCGGAGCATTTTCTTGCGCAGATAGCAGCAGTGTATGAAAAGGCCAAAAGTAATATAAGTTACTGGAATAACTATTCTTAAAACTTGGCTTTATGGTTACATGGAGCCAATGTCTTATCATCACCTTTTCCAGCACCCTTCTCAACTTGAAGCTCAGCAGCGGCAAGTTTGCTGTAAATATCAGCTCCAGCCCAACAAACACCTGCCGCAGCTTGCTGTTGTAAGTTTACAAGATCTCCTTCCCATACGAAACACCCACTATTATTATAGGCGAAAGCCGTGCAAGAGCAACTTCCCAAGCAATCCAGCTCACATCTTGTAGCATTAGCTGCTTCATGTGCTTTTGAATTTATTGGTAATGTAAGATTCGACATCTTTAGGAATTCATCTTTCTTTTCATTACCTTCATTATTTTGACCCTGCAAAGAGGATTCCCAAACACAACCGCTTGACCAATCATTTTGTCCAAATGTTAAAACCTTTTATGCATTTACAAGGGCTCGTTGTACTTTCACTGAACACGCCAAAAGCCCCCACATGCAGCATAAACATCAGCTTGGTCTGCCGGTTGGGACCATACAAAAATCATTGCGAGGAACCAGCCAGCCATAACCATTGCATCATCTTTCCTGAACTATCCATCACAAATCTTGAAAGTATCGAAGTATTGGACAAAGAATATGTGAAATAGCTTTCATTTTCATTCGATATATGACACTGAAATTGTAAATATTCACTCTCATTTCAGGAATGGCAGTAAATCCTTGCCCGTTCCAAACTCCACTGCTCCAATGCCTACGAGACCTGTTCCCCTCTATGAAATATTGAATACTTCCGTTTGGGTAAATCCCAACCGGGAACATACCCGGTGCTGGATCTTCTGCGTTTTTCCATGAAATAAGCCGCTGCACTTCCCCGGTTTGTTTATCGATCCCAAGCTTTCCTCCAGGGAGCCATGTGTCGGTTGGGTTACCGAAACTCTGCCAATATGTAATAGATGTATTTGACACATCTCTTATGACAAAGTTTCCATCATCAAGAAGTATAGCTTCCGTAGAATTCAGAATTGGAGATATAAGAGCTGTTGGCCAAACTGTTTCCGTGAAATTAGTAAGCAGGACTAAATTGCCATCAGGAGATAATTCAAGCTTCAAAGAAGCTGGATTTAAAGGACTCTCCCTATTTGCCACACAAGCAATAATCTTATCCGCAAAATTCTTATACCATATTCCGAGGTAAATGTTTTGAGAAGCACCTGGCCTGAAGAATCCCAGTTCGAAAGTTCTACCTTCAGAAATTAAACTCTGAGTTACAGATAGAGACTGACCCACTGAAAGGGTCTCACTCCCATTGGAGGAGCAAGTTCTGCTATTGAAAATGCATAGCAACAGAGACATAAAAAAACTGCATTTTGTCATATCATGCATCCTCTCTAATTTGTGGCATTACAGATATAAGATCACCGTGCTGATTAAACGAATCAACAAATATCTCTGTGATAAGATACTATACTGATCAATAGAGTCATAGACTAAAATCCTAAGGAATTGACCAAATATGAGAATAATCTAATATTATTGCTATAAGCCGCCCTCACCATTTTTCTACTTTGACGACTTGGCGTGACACTGTCATCATCCTTCAGTGAGATCTACCTCTTGCCATCATCATGAATTCTTGACTCTTATTAAGCTAACCAATATTGTGAAAATCCCCGTCAGAAAAAAACTTGGAAGTCATGAATGGTGGCTGGCGAATTCTAAGTTTCAAAATTTCAGACAGTCCATTGATTTTTCATTGCATATAATTTATGTGAGTGAGAGGTTGACTTGAAAAAAACAAGAAACAAGAAGCAGAAGCAGAAGAAGAAGAAGAAGACAGTTAGAAGCAGAAGAAGAAGAAGAAGAAGAAGACAGTAATGAATTAGCTTCAATAAAAACAGACATTTAGTTGCGTTTGATAAATAGTGCAGAGGATTGCAGGATGGGACTCTCGAATGGACTGAACAGGATAGAACACCTTCAACTCCGGTGGACACCTGTTCTTTTTTTGCACTTGGAAAAATAAATACGGGACGAGACGTAACAATAATATCTCCATCTTTGCCTCATGTATATCTAAACATAAAAATAATAATCTAATACTCTTTAAATTATAATAATAATAATAATAAGATTTCCCATTTATTTATGGTAAAAAATAATTACTTTATTAATTCCTTATTTCATTAATTAATAAAATAATTATTTTATGTTAAAAATCGTTTCATTTATATTTTTTAATTTAATTCTAACCAGTTCCAAAAATAAAATAATTAGCTTCCATAATCTTATAGAAGTTTTTGTTTTATTTTATAACTTTCACAAATAAATATGTTAAATTATTTTCAGGTCTAAAAAAATAACTAAATTAAATCTTTAATAATTACTTTATCAATTAATATATTTCATTGTTTCCACATATAGATCATTATTTCATTTATAAAATTAATATTAAAAAAAATTCAGAAAAAATTATTTTATTTATTGATTTATTTATTTTATACAATGAGTAAGTTTCACAAACCCTCTTCTGTTTTGAAGATAGTTACACTAAATAACCTAGCTTAAAAATATATTAAAATATTTTTTTATTTTAAAAAAATTATTTTTATAATTAACACATTAAAATTATTTAAAAATATAAATTTAAAAAAAAATCTACGAAGCGGTGGTCTAATACTTGTCACGAGGGAGAGGTAAGACTACAAATTACTTGCGTTTAAACATCCAGTGACAAAGGCACTTTGAGGATCATATTATCATTTTAGCGACCTTTGCTTGTGAATGGCAATGCATTTTTTTTTTTGTTGGGTTTAAATTCTCATTTTTTATTATCTAATGGGAATTTAAACCCAACAAAAGGATGCTTTAAAGCTGGATATATTAAAATAATTACTGTTGTTAATTAGTTAAATATTTTCCTGTTAGATTCTAGATAATTACTAAATATATTAAAATAAACGGGATTGGTTCTCTATTGTTATCAACAATGAAGATTCTCCCCAACTTTTTTATTTTCGTTTGCGTCCTTTTTTTTATTTTTTTTATTTAATATCTAATTTCTTAAGAAAGAGTATATATTGTAAACCAACATTTATATATATATATATATATATATATATATATATGATGGGGGAGGTTCTGCTTGGAAAATAAAAACTCCTTTTAACATCTTTATATATGCAAAGAATTCTCGATATAAAAATATATATATATAAAAAAAAAAAGATAACCACCATGTAAAACATGCATGGAGAGAATGCTTGGCTAATTGGAAAGTTTTTTAAAATTTTTATTTTAGTTAAAAAGTGTATTTTATTTATTTATTTAGTTTTTGTGTTTGAAAAATGAAAAAGAAACTCGTTGGAAAAAATTAAATAACAAAAAATTTTTATTAATTTGTCAAATTTCAATACAAAAATAGAAAATTTTAGAATCAATGAATTTTTTTCTTTATATAAGGTGGATTTTCCCTGTAAAAATAATATAGAAAATGGATCAGTTTACACGTGATTTTTTTTATTCTATTAATTTTTATATTTTAGAGTGTTTTAGAGTTGTTAATTAGTTTTTTAAATTTATATTGTATTTTTAAATAAAAAATAAACTGAAAATTAGTTTATCGAGATTTAAAAACAAGAACCTCAATTTTTTATTTTTTATTTTTATCATTGAAGGTGATCGAAAAAATACCAGTCGGTGATAAATTGTAGTCACCCTACTATCCTCCTTAAAAATAAAGAAGAAAATATAGGAGCATGCCACGAATTGCCCCACACTTGAAGATGACACAAAACAAAACAAAAAAAATTACGTGCGAGCCTGGGCGACTCAGGCATGCACCGCTTAAGAAGTAAGGTGGGGTACGTGTGTTTGCGTATCGACATTTGATTTTTTGTTTTTTATTTTTTGTTTTTTTGTTTTTTTTTTCATTAATTATTTCTATTTAAAAGATTGGTTTTATGTCCCCTCTCTTTAAAAAAAAAATAAATCAACTTTGTTTTTAGATAGTGATCCTTTTACATTATTTTTATTTGTATAATACTTTGAAGAAATTAGTTTGATTTTTTTATTTTATATTTTATATGAGTTTTATATAAAAACAAAAACTATTTTTTATTAGCAATAATAACTAGTCACCAGGATATAATTAATAAAAGAAACTTATCCAAACTAAAAAAACAAATTAATAATACTAGCATTTTTTTATGCGTTTCAAAGTAATTTTTAATTCAATCCATAATGTAGTTTATCCATCATATTAAGAAAAGATTTTTTTTTTTCATAATCTTCATAAAACACTATTTATTATAATGATATTTTATCTTTTTTAAAATTTATATTTTCCTCTAATTTCACTATTTAAAATTTTAATTTATTAAAAATTAAATTTTATATTTTATTATGATTTGTTTTCTATGTTATTATCGAAGTCTGATGATTTATGTTATAAGTTTGGAAAGTTTATAAATTGATGCAATTTTTTTTATTTGTTTTTTTAATTAATATTATTTTTAGTTTCATCATTTGACATCTTTAATATTGAGTTGATTAGAATTGAGTTTTGTCATTTATTTTGATTTGTTTTTTTATGAGGTTATCTTGTTCCTATAACTCGGGTTATATATTTTGCGAGTTAACTCAGGTAAACTCAAGTCATTTTATTGTGCATTTTTATTTTAGATTGATTTTTTCAACTTCATTGTTCAAAAAATGAGTTTGTTAAGAATTGAAATTCATATTTTTTTTATTTGCTTTTTATAAAGTTATCCTAATTTCATTATCCAAGTCGTAGGCTTGACAGGTTAACCCCAGTTGACTAGGATTATTTTTTAAAATTATTTTCTATGAAGTTATCTAAATGTCATAACTTGAACTATAAGTTTGGCGGGTTCACTTAGGTTGACTCAAATTATTTTGTGTTATTTTTTTAAATTAATTTTTTTAATTTTATCATTTAATACTAAATTGATTAATATTTAAACTTTATAATTTATTTTTAATATTAAAGTTATTTTAGTCTAATAATTCAAATTGTAGATTTGATAGGTTATTTTATATTATTTTTTTAATTTTGACTGTTACATTAAGTTAACTGAGAATTAAAATTTATAAATTATTTTTATTTGTTTTATATAAATTAATATCTTATAACTTAGGTAGTATATTTAAATTAAAATGATTGATTTGGATCGATTTAATAAATTATTATCTTAATATTTTTTAAGAAACATATCTCATTAATTTTTTTAAATCATATTATATTTTTAGGGATATTCAAGTTACGTTTTTAACCCTATAATTAACTAAATTATATTAAATCAACATCCGTTCTGTTTGAATTTCTTTTCCATTCGGAAAAGTATTGGGTACTCATGAATGCTTCTTTTTACGCTAAAAAAATATCCGAACGACAGCGTATCCTCTGCCAACACTCTAATTCTAAATCCAAACTACTAATGACAAGAGAGGGGTGGGGGGGTGGAACCATTTACACGATGGAGAGTTGACAATCGACGTAAATAGTTGCTTGTAGTGGTTAAATTTCAGCCTTCTAGGCGGTGCGTGAGGTCACTTCCTAACAAACTAATATTTTTAGGCTGGGGGTGGGCCGAAAGTCAGTGCACAACACACACATGCACAGATGCCTCCCAACCAATCGCCTCTCGTTTATATTATTTCTCCTCTTTTTTTTTTTATCTTTTAAATTAAATTTCACTCCACTGACTCCAAAGCTTACAGTTTTACTACAGAAAGACACAAGGAATCTGAAAAACAGACAAAACCCATTACGCCAAGCAACCTTATCACCTCCTCTCCTTTGTTTTAGAGAGAGAGAGAGGGTGAGCTGTAGTGAGATCACATTATTCATTGCACATTGAAAACAGCCGCATGATATTATAGTTTTGTGTCCCTTTTGTTTTTTTTGTTTGGATATAGAGAAATAGAATGATCTATTTTTGGGCAAAGAAAACCTGAGATTTGAACACCCTTCTTGTTAAAGAAACAGTTGTGTTGTGTGGATACAGAATGGTGGGTATTTTCTCAAGATTTTCTGTTGGTAGAGGTGGCCATAGAAGAACCCAAAGTGCCCTTGTAAGAACACCCTCTTGTTTTTGTGTTCTTCTTTCTATCTAATATTATTTGAAGAGATTTTCTTGCTTTGTTTCTTATTTGGATTTTATTTATTTATTTAGCACTACTATGCTTAAAATCCATTTAGCTTGTTAAGGTTCCTTGATTTTATGGTCGTGCTTTACTTTAGAAAATTGGAAATTGGTTTCTTATATTGGTTGACTTTGTCACTTGCGTCTGTGTTTCGTCAAGCTGGATTTTAATTGTTCTTCAAATTGTGAGTACTTTCTCTAGCTTTATCGGTTATCTTGATGTTGGCTTAATTTATATTGATATCCTTGTGTTTTAGTGAATATGATTATTTCCCTTGTTGGTGTTATTTTTATCTTGATTACCTGATCTTGGACTATTTTCATCAAATTTCAGTCACTGTTTGATCCTTAAATAAATCAATTTTTCAGAGTGTCTTCACATAGCAATCGGTATAGCGTGTTGCTTTTTTCTTTTTTCTTTCTTTCTTTTATGTTTTGCATTTCCCTTATGCGTTCTGATGTTTTTATCTGCGTTTACAATTTCTTTTGGCACTTTGTGTTAAATTGTACAAGTTTGATGTGGTGAGTGGCTTGATGGGCTGCAGGATGAGAGAGAAGTATTGCCCCCAAATGCAGATGTTACTGGGGCAGCTGCTGTCGCTGCTGCTGCTCCTCATGGAATTGAAGTAGCGGTAGAGTTTAAGCCAGTTGAGCATCCGATTGAGCCTCTCGACAATGATCAACCAATTCAGTGTCCGCTACCTGAACCTTCAATTCTTAATGTAAGCTTGATTCTTGTTTTGTTTCTGAATTTTGAGTTGTATTACCAACTGGTCTCAATTTTCTTTTTCCCATCGTTGTTTGAATTGTTCTAGTTGTGCAGTTTGGTGCAAAGTTGAATAAGATTTTTCGAGTTGGGGAAGGTTTTGTTAGGTCACATTGCAAGTTCCTAACTTATATAAGCCAATCATTGTGATGAGGCCATAATGATTCTTAGCCCAAATTTCTGAAGAAGATTATATTGTTGTTACAAAAAAGCACTTGGCTTGTATGAGAATTATGGCACGGTTTTGGACTGTGGGAGTGGGTTCTGTATGATTTTTCTTTTCTTTTTTGGGTTTAGATTTTTGTGGATGAATCCGCTGCAGCTACATAAGATCTCAGTTGTTTGATTTCAGAAATATATTTGTTTTATTCAACACTTTTAAGGGTTTTGAGATTCTAATTTCAAGTTTCTTTACTTAGGATGGAAGATTATGGAAGGAACGAGTATCCGCAACTGTGCATAGACGAGGTGATTTGCCAGTCATGAAAGAAGGTGGGGCTCTTGAATCTGAAAATGTTGAGTCGAGGCCGCGCCCGCGGCCTAACCAGTCCAATAGACTGATACTGCCTTCTATCAGTGCCCCCGAGCATAATTTACTAAAACTACTTGAAGAATGTAATGCATCTGGGGTCTAAAACCTGGTACCGATTTCTAATTGGAATGCAGCTTTGCATAGTTCCATACAAAATTTGTTGCCATCTTCTCCTTCTCCTTCTTCTTTTTTTTTTTTTTCCCTTTCTTTCCCTCTCCCCTGTTTTTTCGGCATAAGTTTATTGGAGTATATGTAATTACCAATGAACCATAGCAAGGTTACACCTTTTCTATGTATATGTAACAAATAAATGTTAAGCGCAAAAACATTCTTGAAATTTGATAGATGTAGTCATTTATCGCAGATTATGGAAATAGTCAATGCTCATACACTACTTGACAATGGAGTTTCCAGCTCCCAACTGCTTTTGGCGTCATAATTTCCACCCTTCTCAGTTCTCAAGATCACTATTGTATTAAATGTACATTTTGGTTAGCACAACAGATTCTGGATAAGGACATGTAGATTTGGTAGGAATTCAGAATGTGCTTCCTATCTTCTTTCAAACTGTCAGCCTGCTCCTTACTGTGTTTTCTTGTCATCCAAAACAGTGTTTGTGGTTCAATCCACTCGTTTCCTTGATGTTGATGACAACCTAAGGATGAATCCTGAGGGTCTAGGATTTTTTAACACGATTTTGGACCTACGAGTATCCAGGATCCATAGTAGTTTGAGTCAGGGCAGCACACGATTTTGGACCTACGAGTATCCAGGATAGCCCTTCCTTGTTTACGGTGATTGTTTGTTACTTGTAGATAGCCCTTCCATATATGTGGTCATGCCGACTAGGATTCAGCAGTGATAGTGCCGATTTAGTACGATGGCTGTATCCTTTTATACACTGCACCTCTATAGTGTTTGTAGAATGGTTTTGTAGGATGGATCCTAATACAGCTGTGACCGGCAATTTATCAAAAGGTACATTCTAATAACACGAAATATCAAGAACGGAGAGCATTCATCATCAGTTGGTGATGTTTTTGACGCAGTCTCCTTCCACCAATTTTTCATGCTATACACAGCACGCGATTCTTTGTTAAGTACTTCCCAACTAGACATTTGTTGTGCAAATCATTGTTAATCGATGTTTTAGTGGTCAATATTAGCTGTTAACATTCAAGAGGAAAAGAGAGATGGAATGATTAAGCACTCAGTTTGGTTTGTCTTCTGGTTAGTTCTATAACGGCTAGTAACGGTGCATTAAACCCAGGTAGAAATCAAAAGAAATAGCTTGCTAAGCGTTCCTCTTGAAAAATGAGTTGAAAATCCCGGTAAAAAGACAAGGCTATAATGCTGCTAGAAGATCAAAATGAACGTCAAGTTCCTTCTTTTAGAATGCTGTCACTCGGCCATAGTCATCTGCTAACCGGAAGAGCTAAATGGAAAACACAGACAATATGGAGCTGTTGAGGTTTTGTAATTTTTATAATAAACTTGCACCTGGGACTCTCATATTAAATCCAATCTCTCTTAACTGTTACGAGTGAATTCAGAAAACTGATCACAATAGTTGATACATTAAGAGCACCCCTTGAAGGAGTGCAGAATTAGACATCAAGAAATAAGCAAGAAATTAGAGAGGAGGAGGAGGAGGAAGGAGAAGAAGACATGTCAAGACAAAATAGAAAAAGGGGTAGAAAAACAAAGAACGCTATACAGGCAACTCGGGAACTTCAAATGGATGCTCCACCGTTGGGTTAACAAGGTGCTTCCGAGGACCACGAGCACTACCGTGATTTATTCTCCGCCATGACCGGTATGATTTTGCAACATTGTTTTTCCCGACAGCTTCACCAGCAACCGAATGAACTGATACTGATGAGGTGAAAAGAACGAGGAAAAGAACGAGGGATTTGAGCATCGCCTTAACCAGCACCATCGTGTTCTCTTGGTTGATGCCTTTCTGGCCTCGGAAGGAGAGTGGGGTTGATAAAGAACGTCTAAAGGGATTATTAACTTTGCGTTGCTTGGAAGTTACATGGATAACATTTGACCTTGCATTCCATAGATACTGACTACTTGTGGGGATTATCATGGTTTTAGTTGGTTTTTGCTAGTGGGTTTGGTTTGTTCGTTGTTGTTATTATTCTGCTTGAAGACTCTTCACCAAAATAGGAAATCGAATAATTAAATAAACAGAAAGGTCATCTGAGAAATCATTGTTAAGTCCTACCAGGTGCATGGCTAAGATGGAGGAGAGCAGAAACAACTTCACTAACCCTTCCGCTCCCATCTTCCAATACCTCCTTTTCAAAAAAGCATCCCGACCTTGAATGGATCACCTCAACACTCCTTTGAATTGAAAATGGCTTGCTGCCTTTTCCAGAGTTCTTTTCGCTTCTTAGGTTCAATTGCGCAAAATCTCCATTAACTTCTGGCAGATTTTGATCCATTGCTGCCAAATTTGTGATCAAGAATCGCCATTTTTGCTCAATGCGATTGAATATTGACTACCACAAAGGTAATTTTTTTTTTTTGGGACTGTAAAGAAAAGACTTGAAATTGTGACCCTTAAAAGACGAGGATAAAAGAATCAATTGAGTTTCATTTTAGATTCAATTTAAAATATATAGTAAATTATTAGCCATGCTAATTTTAAAGGATGGAGGAAAAAACTTATATCAGATAAAATACAGAGGGTATTTAATTATTTTTTTAAATAATTAATTTTGTTTAGATATTTTTAGTGTTTGTTTAAAAGTGTGATAAATATTGTTTTTTTTTTTGTTTAAAAGTGTGATAAATATTGTTTTTTTAAAAATATATATATATATATATATTCCCAACCATTAAAAAAAATATGATTATAATGTATTTTATTTATGGACTGGGCTTAGTATTGAAGAGTAAAGACAGCCCACAAAAACCCAATCCAATCCTCTCTGCCCGACCCAAATATTCCACCATATTCTTTTCCTTTCCTTTTCCTTTTCTTTTCTTTGAGCTAAAGCCAGACAAACAAAACCCACAGAGAAAATACATGGGAGACATATCACAAACAAATTATTAAAAATTCCTTCGAAGCTCAAAAACACACGAAAAGAAGCATTCTCTCTCTCTCTCTCACTCTAAATCGGCGCCATGGCCGCTCTACAGTACTTGGAGACACTGCGCAACGCGCATCCAGAACTTGACGAATGGTACAACTCACTCGCAGATCTGTACCAGAAGAAGCTCTGGCATCAACTCACTCTCAAACTCGAACAGTTTGTCGCTCTCGCCGTCTTTCAGGTCTGACTCTCAACTCTTTATCTTGCTTATTTCTCCTTTCTCTCTCTCTCTCTCTACATATATTTGCATGTTTCACTGTTTATGTGCTTGATTGCATGATTCTTAATGTTTGGGTTTCTTTGTGGATCTCTTGGGTTAGTTTCTTTGGAAATTCTGCCTTGGGTTTGGAGAATTTGGGTGTTTAAGGGTTTTGTGGTATAAATAGGGTTTTAAGAGATACTAGAAGTCGTTGCATTTGGTAATGAGGAGATTTATGGTATTGACTGGTAAATTAGGGTTCCTACTTGTGTCTATTTGTGCGTTTGAGTTTTGATTTTATTTGGTGCTGTTACCTTTTTGATAATTTGGGGAAATGAAGTGAGATTTGAATCTAAGTGTTTCTCATTTTGGTTTCTGTGTTCAATTCTTGCCTTATTTAAGTAACTGAAAATGGTGGCGTTGATGGGGCCTTGTTTGCTGCATCTTCATCTTATTTTTGGTTCTCATTCTTACTTGTTGCTGCATGAAATTTGGTAATTGATTGTTGCAGTATAAGATGCACGTGGCAATCCAGAACTTGGGGTTGCTAATACTTGCAGACAATCTGATTTACTGAAAAAATTTCTTATGCTTGTTGAAATAGGTTTAGCACTAGGATCTGCTACCAAATGTTATTGTCTTTGTAGATTTGACCTCATATATGTCAAAGCACACAATGATTTTGGCTCATAAATTTTGTATGCATGATCTCTTTCTGTTGAATTTTGCTAATTTTTACTGACTTCTAGTAGATTTTGAAATGCTCGTGGTTGCTCTTCAATTAAGACACAGCTAACAACGTGTCAAATACCCTGAATTTTATGCGCTTGGTCACACTCACATACACTTCTTTTCCCCTCCCATTCTCATCCTTGTTACACCTTCCCAATTTTAACAAGTGCTTCTTATTCACTATGTCACTTATATTAAAATAATTTTCTTTGGATTTGTTAGCCTATGTGAATCAGATACTTATATTTTGTGTTTTTATATTTGTCTGTTAAATTCCAGGCTGGGGATGCTCTTATACAGTTGTATCATAATTTTATCACCGACTTTGAGACAAAGATCAACCTTCTCAAGCTTGCACACTTTGCTGTTATAGTTTCTCGGCAGTATACAGAGAAAGATGCTGCCATTAGCTATCTTGAAGGGGTGATTGAAAAGCTTCGAGCAACTAGAGAACAGCGTATAGAAGAACCAGTCCTTTACATTAAGATGCAAATAGCAGTATTCAAGCTTGAGCAGGGGGATCAAAAGGAGTGCAAAAGGCTTTTAGAAGATGGAAAGAGTACCCTTGACAGTATGACTGATATTGATCCGTCTGTGTATGCCAGTTATTATTGGGTTTCATCTCAATACTATAAACATCGTCAGGAATTTTCTGAGTTCTATAAAAGTGCTCTTCTTTATCTGGCATATACATCAGTGGAGTCCCTCTCAGATTCATTTAAGCTGGTATTTGATTATCATCATCACAAAAATTAGTTACAAAAGACTGATGGAGACATGGTCTTCTAACATTATATCTGTGCTCTATGTCCTCAGTTTCTTCTGGCATGCTAGCTTTAGTGATATGCATGGAATTAATACCAGATTTGTATATCATTGGTTTCCCATAGCAATCATTTCTTTCTATTATCCCATGCCAATGGAATCTTTAAATTGTGGTCTTGCTGATTTCTGTTGGGAATCAGTCTCTCGAATCTTTCATACCATTTTTGTATTGGCATCCTCCATGAAGAAAATATTATGCTCTGAGCAAAATTCAATCAGTGAAGTTTGGCTGTGCTTTTATGGGCCTGGGTGCTTATCTGAGCAGTTTGGGTTTTTCTTGTTTTGCTATCTCCTGCTAACTTGGATGTGTTAAAAATAATGGCAATATAATTATTTTGAATTAATATAAGCAGTGAACGGAGAGACTGGCATCCCATCAAGTAGAGATGAATTTAACTTATTTTTGACAATACCCCAGGCATTGGGAGGATTGTTAATGACTCCTGTGTTAAGGTTAATTCTTACTAGAGTTTTGTAGTTTTTGGCACTACGAGCTTTAAGATGGATG